TTTATCGCAACAATCCTATCAACCAGCCTCTTAATTTTTATATAACTTAGTCAATCGATCTGGCGCCGGCATGCATCGCCCTAGGCAGGCATCTCCGAACTTACGTCAGTGATGGGTGCTTGATCACTGCTACTTATAACTATTGTTTTTTTGCTGACGGTTTTATCTCTGACGATAGACCACAGTAAGAGTTCGAAAGCTCAGACGAATAAAGCTATGATTCCAATGATTAACATGAATTCTTTATTAATTACATCAGGATTTCACATAGTGGTGATAGGCAGCTCTTATCTCATACATACTCATGTGCCATAGGACATACGTGGTGAGGAAACCAAAATCCAACACTTAATTATTTGACAGACGCTAATTAAGTACCTGTGAAGAAACATCATGCCAAACTAGAAGTGCCGGCCAACTGCTTTTCCTAGGGGGCCTTGAAGACGGGAACAAAACACCTTCTTCAGTTGTTCTTGCTGGAAGCCTTCAGGCATTCAAAAGAAGACTTGATAATACATATGCACATCTGAAAGACAATAAAGATTAATATAACGTACATATACGGCTCTGAAACATATGCATGTCTTGCCAGAATCCATATGTAGATAGGGTTCACAAAGTCTATGCCTATATCCCTTATGTATACTGGATGAATGTGACGTAGTCTATACCCGGCCCCATAAAGATCCATCTAGGAGATGCGCTGGACGATGACCGGTCAGATCAGGGCGTGGCACGCATTATAAGTGTTATGGGGTGCGAAACATGAGGAGAATGTGGGCGCTCGCCTGGACAAACCCACTACCGTGGTCTACCCCGCCTCCTATGTCTGCACCCATTTCTCGACACCGAGCCCATCGAACGACGGCAATGCATAAAATGGTGTAAAATCTTACGAATACAACGTACTAATCTGCGCAGTTTCTTCGCCAACCTTATCTTGGGCCATATGGTGGACCTCCTCGTAATTAGCAGTTGAAATATCGTACGGTGTGCCACAGTAAGGATGCTTCCAGTTTCTAGTTTTATCTTAATTAAGGGAATTTTTCGCAGAATTTTATTTTTCCTCAATCAGGTTTGATAAACGGTGCTATCCGTTTTATCGAGTGATTAGAAAATTCTAAAGCCTGATATCCGAGGTCAGTTTCATTTTTCTTGACAAATGTCTTTACTTAATACACCTCCATTTTGCGCAGTGAAAACAGTCTCCAGAACTCTCTAACTAATGAGGAACTACATGATATAAATGAAGAACTGCTTACCTCGGATCTGCGATATTGACTAAAAACTAGGCGCACATTGACTTACGAACTTACATAGCGGGACGGACAGACTGAAGCGCGCTATACAATATAGTTTGTCACGGGACTTTGCGCGATGGAAGGCCTTCCTCGTATGCCGATGTTTAAGGTGCCGTGGAAACCAAGTCCCGTGTCTCCGGACATTTCTCCCATCAAAAAGGTTTGATCAAAGTATTTTCCTTTTAAGTTTCCTCAGAAAGTCCGTGCCAGATACGGGGAGCAGATGCACATAGACGAACAATTATTTATGTCATTCTTACAGCTGAGAACGGTACTTTTGCTTGTTGAAAAATAATTTGTAAACTCAATATAGAATAGCTGCAAGCCGCCTATTGATGCGAGCAGTATATCGAACATTCGGCGGTATTACGCTCAACTGATGCTTTTGAAAAATCGAATAGATTTTTCCGAACCGAAATTTGTCCAATGGCCGTGGTAAGTAACCGGGCTGCAGAACTTTACGTCAGGCGTTTTTCACAATCTTTCAGTTATATTTAAGCTTAAAACTTTTACAATTCCGATACTCCTCTTTTTCAAAGTCCAACAACAAATGCTATCATCTCGAAATTACATTGCAGTTCTTTTCAGATGTACTAACTTTGTTTGATTTTAGTTCATCTAGCTTAAAATTTCATTAAGTATCCAGGTTTGCAGTTTTCTATTGCCACCTTTTCACTTTTTCTTCTATAGGCAAGATGCCCTTGTTGAAATCAGTTTCGTGCGTGAGGAGGTTGAGTATGAGGAAGCAGCAACCCTCTACAATTTAGGTTCTGCCCATTCTATTGTTGGCGAACAAGAAGGTCGCGCGGATGATGACGTACGTTCGAGAACAGTGCTTGTCTTTTTTTCTTTTAACGGACAGATCGACTGCAGCACATTATTTTTACCGTTTTTCTCGAACTAATTCACATCACTCACCATGTATATTTTCTGATCGCATCTTATGAAGTAACAAACTATAATTTCAGCCCTAATACATGTCTGTCTTCAAATTAGAACTTTTATAGAGGGCTGTGACAGGTGTGCAATTGGAACTAATAGTTTTCGGGTCGGTTTTTCAGTTCATCTTCAAATTCAGCAATTGATTTTTAACATTTTACGGTGACCTTTTTTCTGGGTGATTTATGCTGCTTACCCCCACTGGGCTCAAAAGCAACAGGTGACACATTTGTATGCTCAATAGCCGTCGCTTGTTTTGGATTTTGAATTTCACAAATATAATTAATAAAAAGTGACAACAGTACTGCAGTTTGATAAATTACTCAGGTTTTTCTTCATAATAAAAATCAGTTGTTTGAACGTAGTACTGTAAAAAAAATTCTGTTGCAATAATTGCCGCTTTAATTCACCCTGCATGTCTTATCCACTCCATCTGACGCGCGTCTGTCTACGCTTTCTGTTTCTGTTTTTTTCGTTTCACCGGCATTACCCTTATTCCAGCCTTGGTTTTATAAACCACCTTTCCTGACGGACCTGCTACTACCTACTGGCCAGATACACATGCACAACATAAGCATTTGGTGGAAAACGCTGCCCAATCGGCTCGCTTGATCTTGGTGAAATGCCTCTTTGGAGCCTTGGTACGATCAGCGGCGGTAGCTAATTCGAGCACTATGGGGAGGTGATCGCTACCCAGGCTGATTTCCATTATCAGCGTGGTGGAGGCTACCAGGCTAAACTAGCGAGGGTAACATCAGGCGAGCTGTGGGCACCGTTGGGCGGGAGCCGCATTGGGCTGTCATCGTTGAGAACTGCGAAGGGAGCGTGTTCTAATTCATGGGTCGGGGTTTCTCCCCGGAGATCGGCCGCCAAGTTAGAACGCTACAGGTC